ACTGGGGAACAGGCTTATCTGTGCCAATGGGAGGAGAATCCTTTTTTGCATACAATCCCCAGAACAGACTCAGTTTCTCTCCTGCACAGAAATTCCCTTTTCTTACCTTTTGCAGCTTTTTCAAGCACTCAGAAATGTAGAGAGTTACGTAGATCAGCGTTCTGTCAGCCTCGTTCTGCAGGAGCAAGCACAGAGCCCAGGCTCTCTTAGATTATGAGAGACTTTATGGAACTGATAAAAGTTTGAAACAAGAATGAGTTCAAGCCATTTTGGCCTCCAATTTCCCCATGAGAGAGGGACTTTCAATTCATGACATTTACCCAATTTTAAAACTTAAGTAGCAGGAAGGGGAGTTTTTATTATCTAGTAGAACTACTTCATTTCAAATAAATTTATATTCATAGCACCAACTCTCCAAAGAACTACTATATGCACAGTATCTCAAAAAATTACCTTAATTTCATAATTTTTGAAGAAAACATTAGCTTTGAAGTAGTAGATGGCTTCATCTATAATATCTGTGTCCTTAGCTAGCAAAAAAGAAATACAGAGTTAAACAGTGCACCATTATACTACACTTGGTCCATAACTTATACTCACTGAAATACATACATAATTATTTAATTGCAAAGGCAAACAAAGCGCAGAAGACAGCACTATGTAAGAGAAAACAGTCGTTGCCATGTGAAACACTGGTGAGGTCAGACCACAATATTTAAGCTTCCTACACAGCAGGACCTTTACCTCCCTTCTTTTCCTCCCCCACATGATTTCTCACTTCACAAAAAGCAGCAATTCAGCAGTTCCCCACTTTTCTACCAGTTGAGTAACTCACCAGAGTTTTAACAACACAAAAGTCTTCTCAGGACACAAAAATTTTTTTGGAGAAAGCATAACACCACAATTTAATTATCCTCTTAAAAAAAAAAAAAAAAAAAAGGAGGGGTGAGCAGAACATATAGTGACAAACTGACTTTTGCTACCATCCAAGACTGCTTAAATCCAGAAACATTTCCTTTATATTTCCTTTCTCAAGCTGAACTGGGGGTATCACGGCTGGGAAGTGCTGTTTCACATGCTAAAGGGGAATCCATACCAGGCTGCCTGTGGACCCTGGTGGGATTCCCATAACTTCATTTCAATTTTTGAAGCCCTCTGCCCTGCCTATCCTACTCCTTGTCCTTCAGAGCAGCTGAGTGTTTTCAGCCACAGCCCCAAAGCGCAAGTTCTCTGTAGCTAAACCTCCACTTCCTCTGACAGCAGAGGGTTCACACCGCCATGTCCTCCTCACAGCCTACCGAAGAGCACAGTCAGACACAGGAGGAAGCATGAGAACAGTAACTGTAGGCTTTAATTACTGAAACAACTGATTTAGCTGGACCACAGTGTATATTTATCTGTGCCTAATTATTTTCTACGATTTGCACAACTTAAGTATTTGAAAACTTTTTTCCTCTATAAACTGGAAAGCACTCAATTTCCAACCCGTGACTCATTTTATCACTCTTGCTAAGGCTGCCTTGGAGCAGAGAGATGATGACAAGCTATACGCAGGCAGGTCTTGAGAGATGATTGTAAACTTACTTTCCCGAGGCGCTGGGCCTTTGAACTGGCTTCTGATGGGTAACAGCGCCATGTTCCCAACTAGCTTCGTATCGGAGTCCATTAAAGTTGAGTGGTAAGCCTACAGACGGGGCAGGAAGGCTGGTTATTAATGCTACTGAAAACAGACATTTCCGTGTCTGATCTTGTGTCCCCCATGTCTTGTGGAAGGTGTCCCTGCCCATGGCAGGGGGGTTGCAACTAGACAATCTTTAAGGTTCCTTCCAACCCACATTCTGTGATTCCGTGACTCATCAAATAGAATCAGAATCTAGTTCGTCAGTGATGTTTCCAGCAATTTTTCCTTGTTCAAACAATTACTGTTTTATAATTAGGCCCAGATCTTTGCATCATTCTGGTGAAGACCGTGAAAGTATCATGACTGGCACCACTTACGGTCGTGGTGGTGGGAGATAGGGGAGAACTGGTATGGCTGGTGTGTGCAGGTTGCTTTGTCCCCAGTCTGCACAGCACCAAGGAGGTAACAGCCCTGCCTTAGGTACAGGGCACTGCATAGTTCATTGAAAGTTAGCTGGTCATTAAAAAAGATTCTATTTTATTTCCATGTCTAGCTAATAATATTAGATAATAATAAATAAAGCCAGTCTTAATACATACCCACACACTCAAAAAAAGACCTTTCTGTGAACTCTAAAACTAGTCTGAGTTTAAAAAAATCTTTCTGCAGATGACAGATTCTTCCTGGGAAACTGATTTTTATCAGCTGATGAGTTTAGTATTAGGCACTTTCCAAACATTCCCATGGTGCTGTGACAGGCCACCGGGAAACCTTCACCTCCTCCCAGCCGAGGTTTTCTGGGGGGAGAGGGGGATGCAGCTGGGAGTGTGTGTATGTAAAAACCATCCCCAGTTTATTTCAACCAGAGGAAGGTGGTATGAACAAAACCAGAACAAAGCACAGCTTTTACCCTCCTCTCCCTCGCTGGAGCCGAGGGCTGCCACCCTCCCAGCTGCGGGTGGATCCCTGGCAGGAGGACGAAGAGGAAGAGGAAGAGGAGGGCGCTGGCCTCCCAGCAGCCTCCCATAAACAGCGATTCCCTGCTCCCAGCTGGGCTCTCTGCAGCCGCAGCCCCTCTTCTC